TCTTGATTCAATTAAATTTTCTTCAGGTACTTAGATGCTTTAGGTGCTTATCTGTTAAGTACTAATATTATTTATCTTTGGTATCTTTACGCATAATGTAATATCCCTGTTTATCTTTCTTAACCATACCTACTTTTGCTGTAGCTGAGTCTGATATTACTTTTTTACCTTTTCTTTTTTTTGGAGGTACTTATAAATTCTGCTCCATTTCCTCATTTTAACTTTGTTTAGATTTCTGTATTTTAAGTGTACTTCTTGTAAATATATTTCTAGATTCTGCTTAATAATCCATTATGCTTCCTTTTTTATAGATAAGTTCTTTTATCATGGCTAAGTTCTCATTAGTATTTATTGTTATAACTGTTAATTATGCACTTTCCTCCATAACTTCTTATAATTTTCCTCTCTACTCCCTCTTCCCCCAAAAAATTTACAAAGAAGAAAGGGGTACAGAAAGAGAAGGAATCTGATCAATATTAATGATGTATAATTGAAATGGTCTTTTTCTACTTCCTATGTCACTCATTTTTTCCAAGCCCTGATATCTAGTTCTTATAAGATTCATAAGTATATCCCTTTTTTAGTGTCCTCTTTATGATAAATCCTGTGAAGCTGAAGTTTGTTGTGCTTATATTCATCTCTTCTTTGACTCTACTCTCCCTCTTATACTCTTCTTCCTCCTTCCCTATCTCCATTTATTTCCTTCTGGAATACACACACACACACACACACACACACACACACACGCATACATACACAGACTTCTCAAGGTAACTCATAAAAAAGTTACATGCAGAAAAGTTTTTGAAATGGCGACTAATTAAAAGTTCATATTTATTAAGATGCAGTTTGGTGGATGGCTACAGGTCAGCCTTTTCTGAGACAAGGCTATAAATTAGTATATCAAATTTAAATGGGCAAAAGTAATTCTCCTAGGAAAATGCTTAAAAGCTGGAAAGGCTGAGCAGTGTGCAAGAAAATGGTGAATCTATCCAAGTTACAAATATCTCCTTTTCCAAACAGACTCTATGACCTACTGGTTGGCCATGGGGATTAAAATCGCATTCTGTTCAATGACCCAATAGAGGCAGGAGCAGAAAGAGGGCAGTGTTGGAAGCTGAGTGATAAAGTACTAAGTTCATGGGGTAATAGGATTTAGAGTTAAAAGATACCTTAGATATCATCTAGTCCAATTTCATCATTTGGTATATGGTGAAACTGAGGCCCAGAGATGTTAAGTGATTTACTAGGATGACTTCTTCTAGGAAGGGCATTGTCCTTGTCTTCGGAGTATATGGTTTTATAGTTTCAAAGAAACAAGATATATGAGACTTCAGAGGCCATTTTCCCCAGGGAACACAAAACACAAAACAAAGACATATAGAACAGGTTTTCTTACCCTAGAAGAAATAAATTCCCATAGCAATAGAAAGAGACTCAAGTGGGTTTGGTCACCCTGAAGAAGAGACGATTTAGATGGAACATGATTACTGCCTTCAAGTATTTTAAGGGATTTTATGTGAAATGGGGATTTTTTTTTTTAGCTCTAGAGGGCAGAATTAGGAGCAATGGGTAGAAGTCACAGGCCAACAGATTTAAGTTCAATATAAAGACAGGCTTCTTTACAGCAAAGCTATCTGAAACAAGAACAGGTTGCTTCATAAGGGAGTGAGTTTTCTGTCTCTGGATATGTTCACATAGAGGCTGAATGACAGTTTGTTGAAATGCCGTACTGGACGTTTATCTGTGAGGCAGGGAGTTGGACTAGATGACCTCTAAGATCCTCATTCTATCCCAGAATTCTATGATCCTATGTTTCTATGCCTTAGGGCTTGCTAGATAAATAATATGAAGAAAACTAGGATGCATATAAACAATACCTTTGTAAACTTTTCCTAGGACTAGTTTTGTTTTTAAAGGACCATCTTTCATAATTCTTTTTCACTCAAACTAGTCTAACCAGAAGGACAGAACCTTAAATAGAGGGATCAAAGTTGACTGGGATATAATGTGGGCTAATGAACTCCTGAAGGCCATGACTTTCGTGCAAACTTTGTTGCTTTTTGAATTTACCTGGATAACAGAATTGAAAAATAACATTAAATCACAAAACCTATAATATGTTTCCTTAAAGGGCCACTGAGTTAGTAAAAAAAAAAAAAGAACCAGGGAAGAAGCACCTGATAATTTTTTAGACAGTAATGAAAAATTCCAATTCGCTAAACCCCTATGCCCTTAACAAACTCTCTTGAAGATTAAATCACAATGTAAAATCCACAAGTTTTTATTGACAGTACTGGATTATCAAATGCATAACTCTCTGAAGGGGTAATCATTTTATTTCCCAGATCTCCATTACACATTCCAAGAGACTTCTGGCAGTATCTGTGGAAACTGTGTCCTGGTTTAGCCTTGTAAATTCCTTCCAGAGGAGATACAGGACCTACTCTTTCTGCTGCCAAGTTCTGTGCTTACAAGGTGCAGAATTTATTAGGGAAAAAAAAAGATGAAAAGACAACCTGATACCTTTTAAAGTGCCTTTACATAAGATTTCTTTATTAGAGTGTTTTTAGTACAGCTACTTGGTCATTTTAAGACTTTTAGCTAAATAGCTGGGCTCTGTTAAGCATCTTAAAGCCAGGAAACTTGGAGATGTGGGTAACATCCTTTGTGGCTATATGATGAACCTCAGGAATAAAGCCTCCTCTTAGAGTCTGTACCTAATCACAGTATTGTAGAAAAAGCACTAGATCTGGAGTCAGATGGTCTCATCTCAAATGCTTACAAAATGGGCAAGTTTTAACCTCTTTGGGTCATCTACAAAATGAGGATAATAATCCTAGCACTACCTATCTCACAAAGTAATTTTGGGGATAGCTCTTTGTCAATTATATTACTCAAGGAATGTGAGTGGTTACTATCATTACATTCAACAGCAACACATTTTCAGAGCAATAATCTTGAATGGAATCAAACTATGAGAATGTAAAGGGTTCAAAATCAATACAAGTAGGCAACCATGGATGCACAGAAAAGGCACAGATGCCAAATCTGTCTAGTTTAGAGGACTGAATCTTGGAAATACCTCCCTTCAGCCACTCAAATACAGTTTTACTTATACCAAATTTTGGTCTAAGTCTTCCATCTCTGGTTCATCAAGATGTCTACACATATTGTTTCTTGAGTTTCACCCTGCTTTTATCTCTCCCGGTCCTCGACTTGAGGTATCCTCTGGTTCTTTGTGACCCACAGCGTGAACCCCAAAGAGGATGTCCTAGTGAAGCTACACCGCACAATAACAAAAACAGTAACACTATTTCTTTGTATTTCTTTAATGATTTTTACCTTTTTAAAAATGCTTTATCACAAAGGATAATGATCAGGATCTAGCTAACATTTTATATGGTGCCTTAAGGTTTGCAAAGTGCTTTACATTTCATTTGATTCTCACAACAACCCTGTGAGGTAGGTACCATTATTTTCCATATTTTACAGATGAGGAAACCAAGGGTGAGAGAAGTTAAATGACTTGCTCAGGGTCATGTAGCTTGTAAGTGTCTGAGGCAGGATTAAAACTTCGGTTTTCTTGACTCCAATCCAGTGTTCTAACCACTATGTTACTGGCTCCCTCAAATCATAGATTTAGAGCTAGAATGGACTTTCAGGTCATCTAGGCCAGTGAGGTCAAATTCAAATTGAAACAGAGGAAACCAATCTGTACATGAGGATTCCTATGGGCCACATATTGACTTAGTTTCAAAACGTATAATTATCAATGTTTGATTGCATTTTTATTTATTTTGTTGAATATTTTCCAATTACGTTTTAATCTGCTGAATGTTGTGGGCTGCCTGTCTGATACCTCTGGTCTAGCCTGCACCCTATTTTGTAGATGAAGAAACTGAGGCCAAGGGAGGGTCAGTGACCTGCCCAGGATCATGTAGATAGCAGGCAGCACATTTGGGAATCAAGTCCAGGCCTTCCAATCCCAAGCCCAGCATTCCTTTCACTCTTTCATAGTCTCTGCAACTTATTCATTTGTTATCATCTTAAACCACTTCTGGTTTTAAAAATGCCACAATTCTACACTGATATACACTCTTTACTGTTGCATTTCCCTGACAATCTGAGGGTGAAGAGGGCACTACTGACTAGAAATATGACCATGATGGCGGTCTAATTTTGAGTATCTACAACTACTAAACAAGATATTCACTATAGATCTTGTTAATGGGCACTAGCTATGTTGTACATCTAATTTGAGTGATAACAATTCTAGTAAACAAACACAGAAAGACACAGACACACACACATAATTTTATGGCTATGGATCTCAGAAAAAGAGTGATTGCTTGGCAATGACATTTGGGGGAGATGGGCTATTTGATTAGGACAGGGTTTAGGGTAAGATTAAGGTAAGGCTGTCCCACCATATACTTAGAGTAAGTTTCCTGGACAAGGTGGGTTTCATTAATGTGTGGACAAATATATTTTGAACTATAATACATAACTACTATATTCTTCTTCTTGGATTCACCTCAACAGGACCGTGTTCCATATAAATGCCCTCATAGTCCATTCGTGGGTAAATGTCTGACTGTAACTGGACTGGTCTTTCCTTCTAAGAAAAGGATCCGCATTGTCTCTGATTTGGCTAACACTCCCCCATCTGCTTTCAACATGTTGCATTTGACATTAACTAATGTATCCTATTAGCATTAAAAGAAACGAATCTGGGAAATTCATTTTCAAGTAGAGTTCAAACAGGCCACAAGGAGAAGTGGATTTTAAATTTTACAAAATTTTGTGATGAAGCCAAAAGTCTGTGAAATGGGTTAAGGGAACAGAAGACAAGAATGTCTCTCTCTGATTTATCATACTAACTGGTAACAGGAAAAGAAAAAGAAAATTTTCATAGCCTACATACAGTAAGACAAAAGGTGTGATCAGAGGGATTGAAAGACATGGAATAGGTAATGGGATCTTCATCCCGCACTTACTGGTAATGGGTTAAAATTCTGGTCCACAAGGTGATTGTAGCCGTGGTCAAAAAATGAGTGCCGTATCACAACATCGATGCCCTGATTGGCCAACATTCCTAAAGTGTTCAACCATCTAAAAAGTAGGAAAACAGCTACATCAATGCATTTCAAAATAGGCACGGACTGGAATAAGTATCCTAAAGATTACTGACTGGCTGGAAGAGCAAGGTTTACCCAATCACTCTCCCAGAGTATGAAAAGAGTACTTGCAACTTAAATAGGTTATTAGCACATAAGTGGCTCATGTCTATATTTGCTTAAGATCTTCAAATCAGGTTTCCAAACCTAAGGCTTTACTTTAATATCATCAACCACAAAGCCTACCTGCTTTTAGGTAGGTTTCTAGGTAAGACCTTGTGTCTTACAAGATACAAGTCATAACCATGCATTCCATTACCTAAATTCTCCTACTTGGACACCTCCACTGTGCACACACCATCCACAGATCTTTCCCAACTCATACAATTTACATACAAACATGCACATTCTAACTATTCATATGTCTTAAAGGCGGAGCTACTACTAAAAAATTTTTTATTATGATCATACTTATTTCTAGATCCAACCAGTTACACAGAGACTGATATATTTCAACAAAGACAAGTCCCCCATAATGCATAAAGCTCATCATGCATGTAATTCATTAGTGTAAAACAGTCACAAATATCCATCCTCATGTGCAAGTCATCATTCACAAGCATTAGGGCTGTCTAAAAACCCACTTTTGTCCATCAAATTCCCGCAAACTCATGCTCCTACCCTCCCACACACATACTCTAGCACACAGAGACATATATGCTCTTATCATGTACTTTTCTGAAATACTGGAAAACTTAAAATTTTGCTAATTCTCAATACAGCTAAAAATGTTATTTGAACTCAAAGTTAGAACTCTGGAAGTCACTGAATAGTCAGCAAACAAGAGATTAATCAGGAACTTATGCTTTTCCTAGACTAGTAAATTAGGTTTCAAACCACTGATTATAGAATAATTTTGTATTTATAATAATTGTACCTTATGATTTATATTATGTTTTTATGTCCAAAGAATCTCACAGTTTTGAGAATGGCCATATGAAAAGGGGACTGTATTTCAAGCGAGTAGACTTGAGTTCAAATCCTTTTATTCTCAAAACTGGTATACTGCTGAGCAATCCATGGCTCGGGGCCTTAGTTTCCTCATATGAAAAAAGAGGAGGTGGACTAGATGAACTATAACTTTCTCTTAACCTCTCAATTTTTATTTTTTCTTCACAGCAATTATCATGTTTAAATGTGTATTTATAATCACAGAATACCAGAAACGAAATGGACCTTTGTTTCACAAATAAGAAAGCTGAGGCCCAAAGGAGTGATGGGCTCAAGCTGAATTAATTAAACCAAGCATTTACTGACCCATGGCACAGGAAGGATTGCTATTCCTTCTCTACAGACAGATTTAACTCTAGGTCAAGCCACCATCCCAGTGTCACTGAGGGGTGAAATTGGGATCCTCACTCTGTTTTCCTGCCTCTAGCTCAGTGTTCTTTTCATACTGAAGCTGTGAAAATCAAAGAGAGTCTGTGATTCCTCTATGAATACATACACATGTGCTCTACGTGTTTATGTGTCTATGAGGTACTGCATCTAGGAGTGCATGGGTGTAAAAATATCAATGCGTCTTGGTGTTTGTATATGTGAAGACATCTGTAAGCCTGTGTGGATTATAGTGTGCAGAAGGCTATTCACATTTTTGTGTGCCTATGCAATGCATTTGTGGTATCCAGGGAATATGTACACCTGTATATACACATTAAGAGGGGCCATGCCTGATACCTCCTTGCATGGCCCATAGCTCTAAGAACAATAGAGTACATTAAACAAAGCAGCTGTTTTAAAAATGTAGCTTAATTAACGAACCCTATTTTTACCTACTTGCAAAGGGGAATCAATATGTTTAAGGCTACCTTAAAGTACTCTTAGTATGGCAGGGATTTGTTTCCTTCTCTCCATTCCCCATTCCCATACAACTACTGATTGGACATTGTAGCAGAAAAAGCTTTGAATTTGGAGTTAGAAGTCCTGGGTTCATATCTTGGTTCTGCTATCTACTAGCATATAAATTTGAGCAAGTCACCTCAATAGGCTTCAGTTTAACTAGCAAGGTGGCAAAGTGGATAGAGTGTTGGGTCTGGAGTCAGGAAACCTGAGTTCAAATCCAGCCTCAGATATTTACCAGCTTGTGACCCTGAGCAAGTCACTTAACCTCTGTTTGCCTCAATTTCCTCATCTATAAAAAATGAGGATAATGATAATACCTACATTCCACTGTTGTTGTAGAAATCAAATGACATACTAATTGTAAAGTGCTTAGCACACTGCCTGGCACACAGTAAGCGCTATATAAATGTTAGCTATTATTATCACCATCAAAATCATCAATTTGAAAACTCATTGGAGGACAGGTGGAAATGGGGAGACATTTGAAATAGGGAGGTTAATCTAAAGGCTACTGTAATAGTATAGCTATGAGGTGATGAGGGCCTGTATCAGGGTGGTGGCAATGATAAAGGAGAGAAGAGGCTGTAAAAGAGAGATGTTCAAAAGGAAGAATCAACAGGACTTTGCAACTGATTGGCTATAAGGGATAAAAGAGAGTATGGAGGCAAGAATGAGTCAAGGATGACAGTTAGGTTGGGAGCCTTGGTAAGTGGGAAGATAGTGGTGCTCTCCATAGTAAGTTAGGAAGAGAGGAGAAATAGTGAGTTTAAGATGTCTAGGGGACATCCAGTTTGAGATATCCAGTAGGCAACTGGAGATGTGAGGCCGGAGATCAGGAGAGAGATTAGGGTTGTATAAACCTGAAAATTATCTGCATAGATGTGCTAACTGAGTCTATGGGAGCTAATGAGATCATTAAGAGAAATAGCAAAAAGAGAAAAGAGAAGAGGGTCCATGTCAAAGCCTTGGGGAACATCCATGGTTAGCAGGCATGACCTGGATGAAGATTCTGCAAAGATGACTGAGAAGGAATGGTTAGACAAGTGGGAGGAGAATCAAGAGAGAGCAGTCAAGAAAACCTACAGAGAAGAGATTCTCAAGGAGAAGAGGGTGGCTGAAAGTGTCAAAAGGCTATTGAGAGGTCAAGGATGACATGCTCTTTCTTCTTCAAAAGATGGGTAGGATTTAAAAGGGCAGAGGAAGTGATGGAGAGGGTCTCCTAAGCATACAAAACACCATGAACTAAAAACAGGAAAGGTAGGAAAATGCAGGAGATATATGTTGTTCAGTGTGACTAGAATTTAACAAATACAGAGCATAATAATACAAGACAAAACAGGAAAAGAAAGATAGTGGAGGGAAAAGAAGTTTGCACTTTATTTTGCGGGCAATAGGGAGCCACTGAAGCGTGTCTAAGCTGAGATGTGGCATTACTAAGCATGTACAAAAGGAAAATTAGTTTGGCAGGAATACAGAGGATGGACTGAGGGAAAAAATAGCAGAGTCAATAATAGATTACTATTACTAATAGTAGTAATAATAATGAGGCCTGTGGGATGTATTCAAAGGATATTATGTACATGAGATCAACGTGACTTAGCAACTGATTAGATGTAATTGATAGGGAAAGCATTCACAAAATCACAGAATTTAGATTTACAAAGAGGAAAAACAGGTCAGTAGAATATGTGCTAAATTTGGAAACAAAGGACCCGGACTCATATCCTGGATCTCCTACTTACTACCTTGTGTGACCTTGAGCAAATTACTTAATCCCTGTAGTAAGATGAAAAGCTATTACTAGAGAGCCTCTCAGGTCCCTTCCAGATCTAAATCTATGATCTTCTAATCCTTAGGCATTCTTAGCAGGTAAGTGGAGAGATCCTAATTTAAATCCTGCTTCAGACAATTACTAACTGTGTGAACCTGGACAAGTCATTTAATTTTAGCATACTTCATCTGTAAAATAATAGTAAGATCTACTATCCAGAGTTGCTAAGAGGATAAAATAAGATCTTTATATCATCATTATTCTTGTTGTTGTTATTCACAACAAATGGTTACCTATTTTCTGATTAAAGATTCTAGTGACAGTGAGCTTACTACCTCCTGAGACAGCCCAGTTTAGTTTTGAGCACTTTAATTGTTGAGAAACTTTTCTTTTTGCAGAAATATACCTACTTCTAGTAGTTCTGTCCTCAGGGGGATGACATCTGTAAGACAGCCCTTTAAATACTAACTCCTCCCTAAGACTTTTCTTTCAGAGGCTAAAGATCTCTAGTTCCTTCAACTCTTATGGAGGATATGAGGGACACAAAATACCTCCTCCCAACAATATCCTCTACTTAGTCTAAGAATGAACAAGCTTTTCTGATGGCCATGTGACAATGTTGATTCATTCTGAATTTATAATTCACTAAACTTTTCTGACCTTTTTACAATATTTTTTCTACTGTCTAATTACTCTTTCCCCCATTCTGTATGTGTGAGTTAATTTTTAAAATCTGAGCATAGGATCTTACATTTATCTTTACTATATTTAATCTTAGCCTAAAAAAAGGGAAATGAAGTTAATTTGACATTAATTGTTCTCAATTTACCAGTCTGTATTTTATTGATCTCATTCTAAATGCTTACAAATTATCTTGATAATAATTCCTGAGCATTTTTCCAGTAATCAAAGTCAAGCACACCAGCTTCCCCCCTCCTTAAATTCTCAAAAGGATCTATGATCTCATCAATGCAGATCACAGCCCATCCATGACTGCCTATCCTGCACCATCCTCATCAATATTCTCCCATACATTTGCCACAGCTCACAGTAAGTGTTTCTGTGTCCTTCTTTTAGTTTACTGAAAGAGATCAACTAATGTTTGTAGGCTTTCCTCAAGTCTTTCTCACATGCCAAGAATTTAAATGGGCATACAGACTGTCTATCAGTTATGCATTGCTCTCATCATGTCATTAGCTCATCTTTTTCATACATTTCTTTGATGAAATCACGGGCACCACTTCATAATTCCTTATTAGTTCTGTGCTGCAGTCTGCTTATACTCAACGTGCACCTAATTCATTGCCTTTTGGGTGATTAGC